AGAACAGGTTATTGCGTAGTGCAACGTGTTCTTTGTTCGGCAAGGCAACTAAGCCAACGAAATAGTATCTTTCAATCCCAATGCTCGATTAATAAGAAGGTATGCAATTTGATTGTGGACAATGGGAGTTGTGAGAATTTCGTAGCAATGAGACTAGTGGAGCATCTGAAATTGCCTGTAGAAAAACACCCGTTTCCTTATACTATAGGGTGGATTCAGAAAGGGCCCACGGTCAAAGTAACAGAAGTCTACCAGGTACCCCTCTCGATCGGAAAGAATTATGTCAGCGAAATGGTATGCGATGTCGTTGACATGGATGCAAGTGACATTTTATTGGGGCGTCCTTGGCAATTTGACGTAAATATGGTGTACAACGGGCGAGAAAACTCCTGCAAGTTTGAATGGGGAGGCCGGAAAACGATCATGCTACCTAGGACAGAGACAACGACTACTTCGGCCCGGGAAGTCGGGAAGGACCCCGTTTTTGTAGTGGCCCAAACTGAAGGTGAGTTTATGGAAGGTGTTGAAACAGCGACCGAGATACACGCCACCTTAGTAAAATTGTTGGGAATTCCGAAAGAAGAGGCGAGTTCGAAATCGACGGTGGTAGTACCGGAAAGTGTCCAGCCTTTATTGAAGGAGTTCGGCGAATTGGTAGCCGATGACTTGCCAAATTCGCTGCCACCTATGAGGGACATCCAACACCAGATTGACTTAGTGTCCGGTGCAAGCTTGCCGAACCTGCCCCATTACCGCATGAGTCCACAAGAATGCGAGATACTATGAGAGAAGGTGGAAGAGTTGTTGGCAAAGGGCTTTATTAGAGAGAGCATGAGTCCGTGCGCTGTTTCGGTGTTGTTAGTGAAGAAGAAGGATGGCAGCTGGAGGATGTGTGTCGATAGTCGAGCGATAAATCGGATAACCATTAAATACCGATTTCCAATTCCACGACTTGATGACATGTTGGATATGCTAGAGGGGTCGAAATTATTCTCGAAAATTGATTTGAGGAGTGGTTACCACCAAATTCGAGTTAAACCCGGGGATGAGTGGAAAACGGCGTTCAAAACAAAAAATGGCTTGTATGAGTGGTTGGTGATGTCGTTCGGCCTATCAAACGCACCCAGCACCTTCATGCGTGTGATGAACCAGGTATACGACCCTTTATTGGAAAATTTGTTGTGGTTTATTTCGACGATATTTTGATTTATTGCCAGACTGAACCCAATCATTTGAGTCACTTGCGAGCGGTGCTAATCGTGCTAAGAGAAAATCTACTCTTTATAAATTTGAAGAAGTGTACGTTCGTGACCAGTCGCTTGGTATTTTTGGGATTCATTGTGGGGGCCGAAGGAATACATGTGGATGACGAGAAGGTGCGAGCTATTCGCGAGTGGCTAACGCCCATGAACGTTTCAGAGGTACGGAGTGCGCATAAGCTTGGCGTCGGTGACTTCCCCTTTCTGGGAGAAGAACTCTCTCAGACGGTCCCCTGCCACATACTTGGGCAAGTTTTTCACACATATCCGTGACCTTCCAATCAAAGATAATTAACAAAAAATATCAATTTTAAGCATTGGGGCTGAAGTGAAGCGGGAAGATAGAAAGGAAGAAAATTACATGGTTGGTTCATGTTTATATTCTTTAATACCGAGATACTCCAACGCTGGAAGATGGACTAATTATCTCTTCTCCTTCACTCAAATACGGCCTCAATATTCCTAAC